TCTCCTGGATTTGTTATAAGAATTAAATGAGCTGACATAAACAAAGTTGTGTGGCTTGGTGGTTGGAGTGGCCTGAATTTCTGCACCATTCCCCCTGTCACCTTGTCCGGATGCCTTTGCACAGTGCAAAAAATGTACAACTGTACATACAGTCCCCAAACAATGCATTCACTTCATCTGTACCCATTAGGTCCTAGCCAAGCCTTCTATGCAGATTAAGACGACCTAGCTAACATGTTTATCTCCTTGAGTCTCTTTTCCTCCTGGACTTGAACTGTCCAGTTCTTCCTGTTGACCCATTCAACTACATTTCTATAAAACAAAGACAAGGGTTTTTTCTCATCTTGCTCTATTCCCAACATAGATCTGGGCATGGCATAAAAATTATTCAGATGTATTTTTTTATCTGTGATAAACTTCTCAACTTGCAAAGAACTTTCAGAAACCAGCTCATTTAATCCATCTAGTAGCTCTGAAAAGTAGAGATTCTGTTTCATGGAGGGAAACTAAGATTTGGAAAGGTAACACACAGTAAGCCTCAGAACTTTGTTGATAATTTGCTGTTCTCCTTGTTACTGAAAGTCTTAAATATATTCAAAGCTGACCAGCAGGCTTTCCAGAGTCATTATGTGTTATAGTTACCCTACTAATTTTTAGAGAACTGCAGTAGATGTCTTTCTATAGGGCAGCCAAGGTAAAAGCAGGTCCATTGAACACTGGGTGCCTTTGAAAGCCACTCATTATAAGTATATTTACAGATTTCAGGTTTCATGGACATATTCAGAAATATTAATGTAGCATAATTGAAGTCTAATATTGCACCCTCAAGCCTAGAGCAGAAAATAAATGACTTTCTCCCCCCGCCCTTCTACACCTGTCAAAGTTAATTTTTAACCACCGGTGCATTGCAAAACATTCATCCTGAAGAGCCTGATTCATAAACCTTTTTTAAATGCTTGGGGCTTAGTTTTCAACCAAGACTAAAGCAATACCAAGGTAGAGAGAAGTGACTTTCAAAGAATTTTGCTTTTCTCTGACTTATTTTTTACTGGGTCGAAAATGCAGTCTGACATGAGTCTGTTGCAAAGGTGAGAAATGAAACCTTGATAAGATTCATGGGTTGAGATGGGCAGAAGTAAATAGAGGCAAGACACAGTTTTATCAAAAAGTAGTAAGTTTTACTGGCATTCTAAAAACAAGAGACTGAGCAAGTGTGTATTTGTGTGTGTCACGGGGGAGAGTTTTTACAGTTTTACTTTTGTTTTCACAGTGCAGCCTTCTCTCAGGATGGGTGGTGCAGGTTACAGAGGGATCAGGGGAAGAGTTTCCTTATTCTGCTAGGCCGTGGCATACCTCCAGGAAGCTTGTAGAATGTATTGGTTTTATGCACATGTAAACCTGGGTTTATTTATAATCTGAAACGGACATTTTCCTTAGTGCAGGGTCACCGAGAGCACTGGATGGGGAGCAGTGAATTTGCATCTTCCTGAAAGGCCCTTCTAAGTTGTCAAGTTAAAAATATGAAAGGAGCTATTCATCTTATTAAATGAAGATTTGGATTCATTTACTTTTTTCTTGCTGCCCTTTTAAAAATGGTTTTTGTTCATTAGTGATGGCCCACAAAAACCTTTAAGAAGTGAGTTCCAGGCTCCAAGCTGCTTGTGGGTGGTGAGGTGCACATAGGCTGAAAACTATCCTGCAACTATCAAAAGACAGTTTCATGACTCACTTAAATCCAAAAGTGAAATCACAGCCTATTTTTGTCTCGGAAATCAGTTTGAGAAAACTTTGAGGAAAAGGGATACATATTGTCTTGAAGAATCCAGAAAGTGAAGTTTTCAGTTATGCATGTGTATAAGGTTTTCAGTGTGGATGGGTGTTTGAGGTCTCAGATGTTGATTGATATAAAAGTTTTCCTAAAGGAACTTAACAGCCACGTGGAAATTATTTCCTAAGTATTATGACATGTAGGCTTTTGATATATGAGTGAATAATATAGCTGAGATGACAGTTGTACAGTTACATTTATTAGTTTGTGTGACATTTCAGACATGGCATAAGCATGAAAATACATAGAAAGTTCCAGGGGTTTCTCCCAAACAGAAGTTACTCTATTCTGACAGCAGAGGGCACCCTTTTTAAGCTAATAAAAGCAGGGGCCTTGCAGATCACTTCTAAGACTAAACCTCAGTGGCTGAAAGGTTTAACTCTATTCTGTTACTTTCTGGGATATAATACAAACTCTCTGGTACATGATTGTACATACCATGAGAAATTTGTTTTGAAGCAAACTTTCCAAGTGTAGTATAAGACTTTTTTTCCTGCAAGTAGAAGTTGCACTGCTTTCTAGTGGGTGATTCTCTTCTGAAACAGCACTACCAGACTTTCAACATGACACAGCACATGAATCCCAACAGGTAGGTTTTAGAAACTGATGTATCCAGTGTTTCTACCTTTAGAAAGGCTATTTTTAAAAGCAGAGCTAAACTATAAAGTATATTGTGAACTAACCATGTATCAGCTGGTAGACTCATAGGCTGATTTTTTTGCCCCATTGGAGAAATAACTTTTTCAGTGTTCTATCAGTTTGCACCAGAAGGACATTTGTTCAGTCACTTTCAGTGTGAGTTTAGCAGCACTTGCCAGATATTTCAAGTGACCCTGAGGTTAGCTCCTGCTGTTGGCCTGTGTGGACTTTGTCAGCACGCACATCTTCCTTTGCTAGCCACCATTGGATCTCTTTCCTGTACATACAGTAATGGCATTATTGACAGAACCCATGGTTCTTCAGAGAGAATGAAATGAAAGGTAGTCCTTTATTTTTTTTAACCTAAGTGAGCTGAGTTTTAGGTGCGAGACTTTTTGCATGTGGCTTAGAAGAAATTAACTTTATTTCACTTGTCCATTTTTACTTTCTCTGGCAGAGGGAAGCAGAAGGTCAGGGGCAGCAGACAAAAGAGTTTAGGACCAAATGTTAGAAGCCTGGTTTATTATTTCTCTAGTGTGAAGGAATTGATCAAAGTGATCTCTAAATTACTTTTGGGATTTAAAGCTTAGTGATTCTGTGATTTTTGCATTAGAGCTTTGTATGTTAATGCATAAGAAATTTTTGTAGGAACAATTTTAATTCTTTAGGGAATAGCCAACAATCCTAAATTGAGTTAGTTGCAACTTTGTCAAAGGACAAAAACCACTGGAAAAGTGTGTCCTTTTCTGCCCTTCTATCCTTTGCCCTAGGGGCAGGCAAAGAAACCCAATGCAGACACACTTTTTAATTATTAGAAAGTCATGGCCATAAAACCTGAGTTGAAGTTGACCTCATAAAAATAGCCCCTAGCTTTGTTTTTTCTTAATCTCGTGGTTGTGGAGTTCTGATCCTCTAGGTGAGAATCTCTTCCCATTGCAGCTAGCATTTGTGCAATGTGTTCCCGGCCTGAGTTGCTCTCAAGGCTTTCCTGTTACACCTGCAGGGTTGACCGTGTGAGTGCGTGGGAGAAGGTGGACACGAGGAGCCAGGCACGGTGTTCTGGGCTGTTCCGAGAGGTTCAGGCCTTTACAAGTGAGGCTTTGATTCTATTTTTTGCTGAACCAGCTCAGCCACTTCCTGTGTTTGGCTATGCATAGAGCCTTGCTTCACGGGCGGCTACTTGAGCCCCATGAGCAAGGGCGCGAGGGAGTGAGCCAGCCAGCCTGCGCACACCTCGGCAGCCAGTGAGACTATTTTGGGTCCCCGTACAATGGCCTTCTCATTTCCTCGGCGAAAATGAGCAACTTGGTCTTGCATTGGCCATTTGTCAGCCGATGACAACTTTGACTTTGACTTGGGCTCCCCTCCCCCCTCCCGAAATCCCCTAGCTCAGCAAATATTTGAACCTGCCCAAGTTAATCATGAAGCTGCGATCTTTATCTGGGAGAGACGTGCGAGCGCCTGGGCGCTTTCCCCCCGCGGTACAGTAGCGCCATCCAGTTGGCGTTTCAATGGGGAGCCGCGGGTGAGCGCCGCGCTGCAGACCCGACCCTGCCTGCCGTGGACGCGGACGCGGACGCTGCGCTGCGCTGCGCTGCTGGGCCGGACCGGGGACTTAGGCGGGGCGTGGGGCGGAGGGACCGCGCGTGAGCCCGCCCGGAGGCCAGGCCAGGCGGGCTGAGCAGCGAGCAGAGGGTCCCGGACCCCCGCCCTCATGAGCTCCTGCGCTGCTGCACCGAGCCCGCGGGGGTAACCGTGGGCGCCTGGCCCACTGGTGAAAGAACAGCTTTGGGGATCCTTTTTTTTTTTTTTTTTTCCCGTTGTCGGATTCAGGCATTTCTAAAGGAAACCGCTGAAATGCATAACCTGCAAAGTAAGTTGCTTTCATTTGTGCACCTCTCTGCAATGTGGCTATGGATCTGCCCCAGGGCTCCTCTCTGTAGTTTGTCCCGGGGTGCATGTGCGTGTGCATGGAGCGTGTGTGTGCACCCCTGTGTAAGCGCTGCTTGGGGAAGGCAGATGGGAGATTAAGGGAGACACTCCCTCCCGCTCTCCAGGGGGCCGTGGCGGGGTGGGGGAGGATGGAGGTTTAGGTTGGAAGTTCAGGAAGGAGGTGATCAGAAAGTGCTAGGCTGGAAGTTGGGGCCAGGCCAGGACTTGCAGAGACCATGGAAAATCACCTGTCTCCCTGCCCTCCTCCTTGGATGGGCTTGCCACATGGGAGCTAGCACAGCCAGTAGGGCTGGCTTGCACCAAGTGCTTCCACAAGCACGGGGTGGTCCCGTGAACTGACTGCTGAGCCACACTGCTCAGGGGCTTTGTCTCCTTTACTTTGGGGAGAGGGTCAAAATTTTTATTACACTACCAGGTTTTTTTCTGAATCTTATCTGAGGACATGTTCCTTGCATATGCACACACCACCACCACTTTTTATCATTTTTATTTGAATTTAAGTTTAGGTTTACCTAAACCCTTAGGCAAGTAGAAAAGTGGGAGAGGCTGGGAGGGAATGGGGCGAGTCTGCCTTTCCCAATAACTCGCGAATTAGAGAGAGGACCAAAGTGAACAGCGTCCGGAGAATAGAATGCTTTGGCCACTTAATATACTTTATGACTCCAAATTTGATAGAAAGTCCAAAGGGTTTCTGTGTTCTTCAAATTATCACACAGATATGTGGCATCCACATGTACATAAGGTCACAAAGCCCACTCTATAGTTTTGTTTTTTTTTTTCAAAATGAGCCCCATTTACCTTGGAGGGATCACACGTCATAATACTGTGAGTGTCAAGAAAGATTAGCTCACAATGGAAATGTACACTAAGGCTCTGAGATGGTGACAGAATTATATGCACAATGATTGTGAAGAACCAGAATTAATCATTATATTCATAGGGAAATTGATTGCTTTATATTAAATATTGCTAAGAAGGAATGTTTGTTCCCAGAGTGAGGCATTTAAGCTAGAGAAAAGAGAGAAGGGAAAAAAAAAAAAAGATTACATCACCCTCCCCTTGAAGCAGCTAGCCCTGGAGATGGGTTCATTGGTGAAATGCTTTGCAAAAGTTCCTTTAACCAGCGTGCTGATATATGGCCTCTTTCTTTTTGGAAAAAGCATCTTTTCTGCCCAGTTTTGTTAGATAATAACATTAAAATTCTTGTTAATGTTGACAGTTATATTTATTATTTCTGGAAATAGTAGGCATCATCATTTTTACACAGAATTTTCATGGTTATTCTATAAAGTCTCATTTTTTACTTTGTTCTTTGAGGAAGTATTTTTGCCTATATTTTTTTTTAATTGTCCTTTCTAATGTGGTACATTTATAGCAGTGCTTAAGTTCAGTACTTTCAGTGAATTACGGAGGACTGGATTAAATATCCAGAGTTCTTGACCTTTTGTGCTTTTAATATATATGAAAGATATTTACAGACTATAAAATATAGCTTAAGGAGATCATTTTGATGCCCTCATAAGATTTTTATACCAAGGAATGACCAGGCTATCTATAAACCCAGATGCCCTGGGGGGAGGTGGGAGGAGAAAGCCCTGGCTGTAGCATATCTGCTTTTGTCAACCTGCCAACAGTGGAGCGTACCATGCTGCAAAGAGTAATAAAAAAGGAATTAGAGAACTCACTGCTGGAGGAGAACAGTCAGATTAAACACCTTTCGGCACTCTGAGCATACAGACATTGCAGTTGTATTAGATGTGGGTTCTCTGTGAGGCTGGGACTGTGTGGAGGCTGGCATTGAAGAGAACTGATGAAGCAGGAGTGGTCTGGTGACATTTTTCTGACTTGATTGGCTGGGGCGTGTGATGTAATAGGTTACAGTGCAGCCCCTTATAGGTTTTAAAATGAATTCCAAGACACCATTACAAAGAAAGCCGGACTCTTTTCTTATAACTGAGCTCAGCCAAGGAAACTCTCTTACCAATGTACAACACTGTTTGGACTATGGAGGACCTGGATTTAGAATATGCCAAGACAGATATAAATTGTGGCACGGACTTGATGTTTTATATAGAAATGGATCCACCAGGTAATACTACAGTATTCGTGGAGAGAGCTAGTTAATTTTGTAGCTTTTTAATTTTTTGAAAGCTGCCGTAACAGATCCTCTTGAGCTTGTTAATTTTATTAATTTGTTCCACTGATAAAAATTAGTTTGATTATAACTTGGAAATTAAACAGATTGTTTGCCTGCCTGTGGGAGGAAGCAGCTCAGGCTGTGTGGGGTAAACGCTGATTCTTATTTAAATGGATGTGAATTGAATTCCACTTTGTCACTGGTTATCTTTTGTGAATCATGGTCCTTTTCTAGTTGGGCTATATTATTGTGTATCGCCCCTTTTAATTACAAGGATGATCCTTTGTATTGCTTTTGTCTGCTGACAGTGGATGAGAACAGTGTGGTACTTTGCAGTGATAACACTCAGTACTTTAGAAAGCTTGTAAAATGTAGCAGTGATTGCAACTCAGTTCTCTGTGACCTGAAACTCTTCACGGTCAGATGTTAAGACTTTGCTTACACTCTCTGTTATATTAAGATACTGTAATGAAAAATGAAGTCAGTTTTCTGTTATTTAGTCCTAGTCTTTGTGAAATGTTTGCGATAGACACCTGAAATCATTTTTGCCTAAATTTAAAATAGTAACAGTGCTTTAAAACTTATGACTTCAAATTTAGCTAAAAATCCTAGATTTAGTTTGTTTCCTAAATTGTTTCTTCTGATGTTATCCCTCCCCACATTTAAGAAATCCAGAACACTGCAGTTTTTGGTTTGGTTTGGTTTTTTTAATTTGTCACCAGTTCATATGTGATCCTGATTTGACATTGAGGAAGAGGGATAGGGTTTTTAATCAGACCTGGCACATAGAGCAGAATATTAACGCGAATAGTGAGGAGATTTAGGTCACAGATGAGTTTCTTAAAGTGGCTTTTGGCAGAACAGTGCCTGAAATACTAAGATTGGAGAAACCCAATTCCTTCTCTTAAAGCATGCTGCTAAAGATGAAGGTTTTTTTCTCCCTTTTGAATTACTGCAACAGCATTTGTGCAGGACAGAGAGACACCACATTTGTCTTTTACAATTAAATAAGAGAGCATTAAAGCCAACTCATGGTATTCCTGCTGCCCATATATTCATAATTTCTTACTTTAAATGGATTTGACTGGACATACAACTTTAATAGACCTAAAAGATAGACTTAGAAATGCCATGACTCTGGATTTACTTTGAAATTTCCTCACTTGTGAGTCTCTACGGTTCTCTCTCTGTGTCTCTCTCTGTCACACTCTCTTGTCTCCTTTTCAGTTTTGTGTCTTTTTGAGCCATACTCTAAATGATTTCCTTTAAAGACTATCTTCCATGATTCATGGAAGTGTGAGTTACTGCTAGTGTCTCTTTCAGTTGCTCTACTTTTTCTTTGTTGTAATGGAAATGTTATTTATCAAAAGAAGTTCAGATCTAATTTTCAGTATCCACTAGGAACATTGCACCTCACTTTTCCTGTCTGCTTTGCCTACAGCACTGCCCCCCAAGCCACCCAAACCCACTGCGGTAGCCAACAACGGTATGAACAACAACATGTCCTTACAAGATGCTGAATGGTACTGGGGAGATATCTCAAGGTAAGGCCGCAGAAATAATAGATACAGAGAGGCTTAGATGAAGAGAAAGAAAAGCACCAGCTTGCTGAGTTCCATTTTTAGGATTGCATCCAACATAAGCATGAAGCATGGTTGTTTCTCTTCCAAAGACGACCAGAAAAGTCACTGAGCACTGGAGAACTGTGGGTGCTGGATGCCACAGGAAATTAAATACCCCGGAAGTTTCACTGTTGACAGAGATGTCAGAGAAGCACCAGGTGACAGGGCACGGCCTAAAGGCAAATTGTAAAGACTTTCTCTCTAGTAAGCAGAACTTTAAGAATTGTATGGTCTTAAACACAGTAAAATAAAATGGCATTTTGTTGTTGTTATTGTTGCTAGCTTTGTTGGGATGTGAGTGAGGGGCTTGGGGTGAAGGGCCTTTTGGGATCATGAATTTCTGTGTTGATTTGTTAGAGATTGGTAAAAACAACAACAACAATAATAATAATAATAATGAAAACATTGTACTTCAGATACCAATAGGGAAAGTGGGTGCATTTTTAAAAAATTTCTCATGTAGCTATTCTTAATGAGATTAGAATTGATAACATTTCTATATAAACAGAAGAAATGACTAGTAAGCTCTGAAATGCAATGTCTAGATGCTAATCTGTGGGAGCAGTAGGTAGGTATTATGGGAACTCCCTGTCTTCCCCATTCAGTTTTGCTATGAACCTGAAACTGCTCTAAAAAATAAAGTCTGTCAGGGCTTTGGGTTTACCGCAGTGGTGGGGCACTTGCCTAGCATGTGCAAAGCCCTGCTTTCTTTCCCAGCACCATAAAAATAAATAACTGGGAAAAAACATAAAATGTATGATTACTGAATCCTCCAGGTAAGCGTGGTCTTGCTTTCTGTGCATTTCAGGGAAGAAGTGAATGAAAAACTTCGAGACACAGCAGATGGGACCTTTTTGGTACGAGACGCATCAACTAAAATGCATGGCGATTATACTCTTACACTAAGGTGAGTCAGGGAGTGCAGCTGAAATTGGTGTATTCAAGTTGACATGAAAACATTTCTTTACTAGGAAATTTAATACCATTATTTTTATGCTGTATTTACAGGAAAGGAGGAAATAACAAATTAATCAAAATATTTCACCGGGATGGAAAATATGGCTTCTCTGACCCATTAACCTTCAACTCTGTGGTTGAATTAATAAACCACTACCGGAATGAATCTCTAGCTCAGTACAATCCCAAACTGGATGTGAAATTACTGTATCCAGTATCCAAATACCAACAGGTAATCAAAATTGAATTGCTCACATTATCATGAAACTATAGACAGATACTTTCAAATTTAGAAAACTATGCCAGGCATACTGATTCATGCCTATAATCCCAACACTTGGGCGACTGAAGAATCATGAATTTGAGGCTGGCTTGGGCTTCATAGCAAGACTCTGTCTCAAAAACAAAAAGAAGAGAAAAAAAAAATTTAAAGAACATTTTGAAGCAGACAAATTACATGAAATCCGGTTTGAAAAACTTTATACTAGAACACAAAACTGCAATTTTATAATTGTTAAAACAATTAGCAAGTCAAATTTTCTTTACATGTTGGCTATTTTGTTAATTGTTATTAGATTAGATACCTTATATTAACTGAATGTTTTTCCTCTAATCCTTCAGGATCAAGTTGTCAAAGAAGATAATATTGAAGCTGTAGGGAAAAAATTACATGAATATAACGCTCAGTTTCAAGAAAAAAGTCGGGAATATGATAGATTATATGAAGAATATACCCGTACTTCCCAGGTGAGTTGTCTGTGAAAATTGAACTAAAAGTTCAGAACTCTGAGTCTAGTCAGTCTATGAAAACCCTAACACATGTTATCTTCAGCTTTAAAAGAAGGAAAGACACAAACAGCTGAGACTTGGAGTGAAGGGGAGGGAGATCATTCATTTGTGAGTCATTGTTGCTTTTCAACATGGAACCTAAACCTTTTAAAGGAAGCCTGTAGTTATCAGAATAATGAATTAAGTTCACATGATAACTGAAGGGGTCACTGAGTTTTAAGTTGATTCAATATAATTCCTGATTAGAATTCTGTAAGTGTAACTGTATATGTCACAGACTTGTCTAGTCTCTGAGATGGAGGTCTCACAATCATACACCCTGCTGTGAGGAGAGGTGACATTGACTGTGGTCAGTCTTGAGCCTCTCCAGGTCTTTGTGGTCTGGGATTGCTAGAGAGAAGGCAATACGAATGCTGTAAACTGAAATGATTTTTTTACAAGATGAAAACTATAATCATTTCCCATAGATTTGAGGAAATTCTATTTTAATGGCGTTATGTGAATTCGGGTCCCACCCTGCCAACGCAGTGTAGTCAGCCCTCCATATCCATGGGTCCCGCATCCTCTGAACATGTACAGTCCTTTTTCTTTGTTTCTGTTCCCTAAACAATACCATACAACAACTATTTACATAGCGTTTACATCGGATCAGGGATAAGTATTTAGAGATGGTTGATTGTACAGGAGGTGGAGCACTACATCCGTACATAAATGGGACTTGAGCAGTTGCAGATAGAGCTTGGTGCCTGAGGAGAGTCCTGGAACCAATCCCCTATGACACTCAGGAGCAACTATACTTACAAGCTAGGTAATGATACAGATCAAATGTGCTGGGACTAACTCGAGATAAAAAATGGTTCCATGGAAGGTCTGACACTATCTTATTAAAATTCTCTTTCAGGAAATCCAGATGAAAAGAACAGCTATTGAAGCATTTAATGAAACTATAAAAATATTTGAAGAACAGTGCCAAACCCAGGAGCGGTACAGCAAAGAATACATAGAAAAGTTTAAACGAGAAGGAAATGAGAAAGAAATCCAGAGGTGGGTGAGCCATGAGCACTTTCATTATCCTTGTGCTAGGAATCACAAAAAATTTAAAACTGTTTACGCAGATGATCTTGCTTCCAATTAAAAAATGACAGGAGGAGAAAAACATTGTTCACCCAAGGAAAACTGCCAGGAAGCTATGGTGCAAATAAAGTTTCATAAATTTGGGAGAACCTACATGATCTACCCAGGTAATTACAGATCCATTTCTCTTACTATAGGATTATGCATAACTATGATAAGCTAAAGTCTCGAATCAGTGAAATTATTGACAGCAGAAGAAGGTTGGAGGAAGACTTGAAGAAGCAGGCAGCTGAGTATCGAGAGATTGACAAACGTATGAACAGCATTAAGCCCGACCTCATCCAGCTGAGAAAGACGAGAGACCAGTACTTGATGTAAGTGTTCAAAGTGGAGCCTGGAAGTAAATGATTGAGAATTACTAAAATTAACAGTGAGTTATTAATGCCTTTTTTTTTCCCCCAAAACTGTTTTCTAGGTGGCTGACTCAAAAAGGTGTTCGGCAAAAGAAGTTGAACGAGTGGCTGGGCAATGAAAACACCGAAGAGTAAGTAGTTAGTAAAAATGGGAGGTAGAAAAAGATTTTTCTCGTTTTAGGAAAATGTGTGACTTACCGTGTTTTTATAACAAGCAAGGGATTTTACTCAGTTTGGAACATCTCATAGGAGAAAATAGATAAACTCAGTGTTATTACATAGAATTTAGAAGAAGGAAAGTTTAGCTAAGGAGAACTTGCATTTACTTTTTACCCATAATTGTATAAAAATGGCCCTGCATGTCCATAATGATGGCCCTGAACACCTGAAAAATCCCCAAATATTTTTTGGGAAAAAAAAAAAAGGTTATATTTAGACTATTCTGAAGGTTAAGTGTATGTTTGGTTCAAATTATTTGAGAACTGGCAATCTTCCTAGTCAATTAATTTCCTGATCTAAACTAGATAAACAAAGTTGTTTAGTACCTTTCCCATCTGCCCAGGTACCTGGCAGGTGGTTGCTGACTTTAACACAGAGGTAGTATAACTTATTGCTAACTTTTTGTCTAGGAGAGTTGAATTGGAAGAAAAGTAGGTCAGAGACACAGGGCTGAGTTGGCTGGTCTGACTTGCTTAGGAAGAGTGGGACAGGAACTAGGTGGGGGTGACAAAGGACCCTTCCTAGGGGAGATGCTGGGGCCGACTATGGTTCCCCCACTCTTCATTCAGAAGCCTTCTCTTCTGCCTATGCAGCCAGTATTCGCTGGTGGAGGACGATGAGGATCTGCCCCACCATGACGAGAAGACGTGGAACGTTGGAAGCAGCAACCGGAACAAAGCTGAAACCCTACTGCGGGGGAAGCGGGATGGCACTTTCCTGGTCCGGGAGAGCAGTAAGCAGGGCTGTTATGCCTGCTCTGTGGTGTATGTGTCTCCAGCAAGCTTTCTTAATATTTCATTCATTCGTTCATTGGGAATAATTTTTAAAATTCTAGCTTTGAATAATTTTAAAACAGTAATGTAGAAGATAGACAATTTTTTTCTTTCTTTTTTTTTGCAGTACTGGGATTTGAACTCAGGGCCTTGCACTTGCTAGGCAGATGCTCTGCCACCTGAACCAAGCTCCCAGCCCTAGACAGTGTCATTTTAAAGTTTAGCCAGCAGCGTCTGTTAATAAGGTGTAATGGAACCTGCCACCCATTAGGAAGATTGGGGCTGAGTTCCAATTCTGGGACAAATTAATCACGAAAAGTCCTTAAATCTTCTTTTCTCAACTTTAAAATGGAAGTAGCTATGTCTGTCCTCACCCTTTTTTGCCTCTTAAGGATCATACAGTTAGACTCTGAAGGAATTTATGTAAGAGTACCACTAGTACATAAATTACACCTTTAGGAACAGATACATCAACAAGAGGAAGGAACCCCCATCACTGTCCGTTGGAGATATACCCAAGACATACTTCTGTCATAGTTCATATTTTCTTTTTGCTTATTTCTTAATAGTTTGAGGAGTGCTTAGAAAAGTGAATTTGGAAGGCTGGGTATGGTGGTGAACTTCTGTAATCCCAGCACTCAGCAGGATCATGAGTTCAAAACCAACCTGGGTTGAACCCAGGTTGAACTTTACCATATGAACTTACCATAGCAACACCCTGTCTCAAACAAACAAAGTGAATCTTCTAGTAGGGAGAGGTTCTATTCCTCCAGGACAGAAGCTATTCTCTTGAGTAAGGACAAGGAAATAAGAGAATATAGAGCAAATTCAGAGGTGGAGAGTTATGTAGCCTGAGATGGCTAAAAGAATCCTGTTAATGTTTACAATTGAGGAAATAGTCACCCAGCAGTTGACTGCATGGCCACACTAATAACAGGACCATAAAGGTTGGAAGCTGCCATGTGTCGCATGCTCGCCACCTGCCAGGCACCCTTGCAAGCACCATGCCTACATCTTACCATTTCGTTTCTTTTTTGAGGGGAAGGTGAACTGGAGTATGAACTCAGGGCCTCAGTCTTGCTGAGTAGGCACTCTACCACTTGAACCACTCCACCAGCCCTGTTTTGTGTTGGGTCTTTTTCAGATAGGGTCTCCCAAACTGTTGCCCAGAGCTGGTTTCAAATCATGATCCTCCTGATCTCTGCCGCTTGAGTAGCTAGGATTATAGGCGTGAGCCACTGGCACCCAACCACCCCATTTCATCTCTTAAAGGAACCCTATTACATACATATTACTCGTGTCCTCCTTTTAAACTATCTTAAAGATGAAAATACAGCAGCTCAGTAGAGTTGGCCCAAGAGATTGCCCCTACTCAAGTCATTCAAGCAGTAAATAAGTGAAAGAGCCCATACATTGGGACTCTTCACCCAGGTTGAGATGGACCCACAGACTGTGCTCTTTCATAATGATGGCTTTGTTAAAACAAAAAAAACATGGTGGAGCTGTGGCTTGTCCAGGACCAGCTTAAGAGGTGGTTGTGTTCTCTCCTCATCCAGGGTGGATGGCGAAGTCAAGCATTGTGTCATTAACAAGACAGCGACTGGCTATGGCTTTGCTGAGCCCTACAACCTGTACAGCTCCCTGAAGGAACTGGTGCTACATTACCAACACACCTCCCTCGTGCAGCACAATGACTCTCTCAACGTCACACTGGCATACCCGGTATATGCACAGCAGAGGCGATGAAGCTGCGACCCTCTGATCCTGTTCTGACCTTCCACGCCCGAGGCCTCTGGAAAGCAAAGGGCTCCTCTCCAGCCTGACCTGTGAATTGAGCTGCAGAAATGAAGCTGTCTGCCTGCAGATGGGACTAGAGCTTTCTTGGACAAAAAAGAAGTAGGGGAAGGCACGCAGCCTGGGGCTGCTGGTGATCAGATGTTTCTAACCTGGACTGCTTATCCTTTTTTTTTTCTTTCTTTTTTCTTTTTTTTTTTTTTTTTTTGGTTTAATTTAAAGCCACAACACACAACCAACACAAAGAGAAAAGAAATGCAAAAATCTCTGCGTGCAGGGACAAAGAGGCCTTTAACCATGGTGCTTGTTAATGCTTTCTGAAGCTTTACCAGCTCAAAGTTGGGACTTTGGAGACCGGAAGGTAGATAGGGCTAAAGAGCCCGTGCCTGAGAAGCTCGGTCCAGCCTGGTTTAGCCTGGGTGTCGCTGTGCGTGGTAGACCCAGACACGTCGCACTGTGGATTATCTCATTTTCTAACAACGAACAATATGTAGCAGAAAGGCGCTTCTGCTCACCAGGGACACTTCAGGAGAACTTCAGTTCATGGATGTTCAGAGAGAAATCTGTTGTAGCAAAGTGCCGGAAAGTGTTTTGTTTAAATTTGTCAAAACAAAAACAAACCCACCAACAGAAAAATGGAGCTTGGAAAACAGGACTTAAAATGACATTCATTATCTAAAATATGTACATAATATTGGATGGCTAACTATCAAATAGATGGATTTGTATCAATACCAAATAGCTTCTGTTTCGTTTTGCTGTAGGCTAAATGCACAGTGCTATGCAATCCTTAATTTTTATTATGTTGTCACCAGTTTAAAATGGACCTTCAGAATAAGCTTCCCTTACCCCATTTTTTGTTGCTTGAAAATATTGTCCCCAATTTTTGTTAATAATTCATTTTGTTATTTTCCTTTTTTAAAAAAGAAGAAATGTACAGAATGCCAATTTAAAAAAATGGCTTCAGAATTAAAACTATGAAATATTTTACAGTTTTTCTTGTACAGAGTACTTGGCTATTAGCCCAAGGTTAAAAAGTTCATAACAGATTTTTTTTTTTTTTGGACTATATGTTTTGTTGGGCAGTGCCTGATAAGCTTCAAAGCTGCTTTATTCAATAAAAAAAAGAAAAAGATATATGAATATGACAAAGTATCGCTGAGTCCAACCTTGTTGTTTTAAGACTCTTAAAATACGGTACCTGGCAATGTCTATTTCATAATGAATTGTGGACCTCTTGGATCTAGCGAAGGGGGATGTAGCCAAGGGTTGTAACAGGCAGGGTGGTGGGAGGGGTGGCAAGGTGGCGTGCACTTTCTCATGATTACAGAAAAGTGGTGAATAGCTAGAGTGAAGTTACTTATAATAACTTCAGACTTTTCCCACTTTGACTTGCTAGTTGCTATCAATTAATGATAATTACAAACTTACTGTTAACTATGCAGCTGGTCAAATATGTCAGTTCTTAGGGAGTAAGTGCTGAGAGTTTGTTTTGGGGCTCCTGAAACAGTGCTCCCCTTTGTTTATCCCTCTGGTTTCAAGGTAGAATCTCTACATTTAGAAATTGTGTTCTTTCTGATTTTTTAGCATTGGGCTAGTCACGACAACCAGCCGACATTAATTTTAGACAAAACAGGCAGGATCTGAAAAAAACACTTTGAATTGAATGTTCATTATTTTCCTAGCTTTCTGTTCAATTTAGGACATCAAGCAAGTAGACGCAAGCCTACAGTCCTTGCTGCGGACCAGGCGGAGCTTGTTACAGTCCTGGTCATCACAGGAATCCAAATGATAGTCCTGCCCATTCATCTAAATGCTTGTGTGTGCTGTACTTCACTGCGGGGAAAGGAAGGGGGGTTTGTAGCATCATCTGTCCAATTTAGGGTGAGAGTGAGGGCCTCCTTCCCTGTCACATGTGCAACAGCTGTTGAATGCTACAGGAATTGTCAGTGATGGCTATGATAATCTTGCTCGCTGCCCTGGTATTTTCAGTTTTCCTTTGTCAGTATCAGACTTACCCACAGCTTTATTTCTCTTCCCTTCAAATACTAAGGTGAGGGTAGGTTTTGTTTTGTCTTTTAATGTTGTTCCTTTTAAAAATCTTTTGGAAGAATCAGCCCAGCAGCTGAGTCTGTAGAATGTATTAATTTTCTTCCATGAAACTACTCATCCTCAAGAGCAAAAGTCAGTCTTCAACCAGACTGCCAGCCCTCCAACTTGACTCTTCTGATCTGTCATCTCCCTCTCATCACCAGACTAGTGAGGATTTTCTGGGGTTAGTCTGTATCTTTCCTTTACAACTTCTGGCGGTGACATCCTGCCACATCACATAAAGCTAACAGTTACTAGTAGTTGTAAACTAGATTTGTGGTTCGTTTTTGTTTTGGTACCACATCGTCTATGCTGTTAACTACCAATAACTTCACTTTCTGAATTAGATCCGAGATTGAATGTCTCATTAAAAGCTACAGTTCTGTTAATGTTTTTGCTTCCACACTCTTTTGCAAGATGACATGCAATTTAGGCAGTTGCCGCATTTTTTTTTTTTATCTCATAAACATAAGTGCAATAGGCTTTTCATTGAACAGAAGGCAGGAATCATTGTTCCACAAGACAATGAGTTATGTCACACCCATTCTGCTGATTACAGTGATTATTTGTGATTACAGGGTAGCATGCTCACTTTGTCCTTCTAGAGGTTTGACCATCAGGGCTCTGTGGGTTCCATCAGGTAGTCATCTTTTAACAACACTGAGTGGCTCACAAATTTGGATGAATACAGCAGAGTTACTCCTGATAGGTTATTATCCTTGCATCGGTTTTTCCCGCCTAATGTAGCATCCTAAAGACAAAGCCAGAGCTAAGCTGCAGAGGCTGTGATAGGACAAGAGAAGTGGGAACATTGGACCCCATATTCCACACAAGAGCGATCATGACCATGGTAAAAGGCAAAAAGCATGTATTCGCAACATTTGACAACTTCACAGCCCTGGGTATATGTATATATGTATATGTGCATGGACTGGGTTTCCAGTACACCTTTCAGCCAAAGCAGATCCACAGTTGTTGAGTTTAAGTACATAACAAGCAAATGTCTAGTACAGTTCTTGTATCTGTGTATGGGTTGTTTTTTTCTTTAAGGTTGCTTTGTTTTGTCTTATAAAGGTGAAAAATGTTTGCAAGTGAAGTGAGAAGTTCATAATTCTTTGACTTTTTTTTCTGTTTTTAGAAGTTACTCCTTTTAGGGAGCAGGACTAGATGACTCGCTTATTCAGTACGTCAAGTCAAAATGTGTTTATGTGAGCTGTCACTGTGGGGAACCAATTGCTTTGTCATGTAGCTGGTTATGAACTAGTAACGTGTTTGGGAAGTCCTACTGATGTTCCTTATTGGGAGAAAAATTCTGCTGGTTTTAACAACTGTGCTTTTGCTATGCATGGTATTCAAGTCAGTTGGAAGGCAGACCCTGCTGTTTTGAATTTAGGGTCCTTTAAGAAAGGGGCAGTTTAAAGCACAAATGCCTCACATGGGACAAAGTTCCAAAATGCCAAATTCTTATTGTTTAGAAATGTAGACATGTAAGATACTAGTGTTATGGGTGAGGAGGAAACGGAATTGGTTCATTGGAAAGACTGTCCAACTTAACATTAACTTGTCACCATGAGATAGCATTAGCTGCCCAGGATGCTGCTATTAAAAAAAAAAAAAAAAGGCAAAACAAAAACAATTCATTTATACGTGTGTATTTTTTAAAGCTACAATCTGTTCAATGTTTTTACAAATCTGTTTATATAACATTGATAAAAAAAAAGTTGGTCTTTTGACGAGAGGGAGGATGTCATGGTCAGTTGTAATTTTGCCTTTACAAGGCAACTGGGGTGGGGGTGGGGGGGGGAGCGTGCCTCCTTGACTTTTTGTTCAAGTTATAGATTCAGTGGAGCTATGTCTTGTTTTAAGTTGCTTTAATGCATTGTATTAGGTCTTCAAACAGAATAAAGGTTGTTTTGAAACTTAAGTTTTGGGTTAAAACTTCAATTATCACCTAAGACATATTTCTAAACTGCTCTGTCACTTTGGGATTATAATTGTCATTTTTGCTTCTGTGAACTCCCCAGCCCCTTTCATTCCATTGTCTCCCTTTTTGTAAAGTAAGGCCACTGTGCTGTCACACAAACGTGCTCAATATTATTTACCTAATTTTACTACATCCTTAATGACAAAAAGGACCTACACCTAGGTGATGTCATTTCGAGGCATATTCTTACTTTAAGAAAACACTGTCTTTCCACCCCTCCCCACCTCCACCATTCATCCCCAAACCTTAACAAATGCCCTGTAGCAACTGTGGGTTTTGATGGTCTCTGGTTTTGTCTGTCTTGTACAGTTTTGCATCTATATCAAACACATATTGCAAGGACAAGATGCAATGGTGTGGCATGGGGCTGTAAAGAGGGCTAAGCTACATCCCAAATACAGGTTTTACATTCTGTTGTCTAGTCAAGAAGGAACTCTTGCTAAGGATGTGATAGAGTACCTGCCTAGTAAATGTGAGGCCCTGAGTTCCAACCCCACTACCACAAAAAAAAAGCCCTCTTACTCCATAATAATTTTCCCTCTGTTTTGGTTGTTGATTGAACTTACGACCATGCTACCTTGTATGTATGCCACACTTACAGGTAGGTACAGTGAGGATCTTGGACAAAGAAGATGTAATCTAGTGGTGGAGGTAACAGGGCACACAAATAATTACCTTGCTGGCAACAATGACGAGCATCTGTTGAGAAATGGCAGTAGCTTTGAGATTCCTTTCTACCTTTTCCCTGCTCTGTGTGTCGTGACAGAACCACACAGGTCCTTTGCTCTGCCTTGTAGGAAGGGAGTCTCTTCCATGACTGCAGGCACAGCAGTGGACCCTCACTTTCAGTTCTGTGCAGTCCAAGGCTCTGGCAACACTGCTTCCTCCCATGCAAGGGGTTGTTGCAGCCTCAAGCTGCTGCTAAGGCTTGGTTTCCCTCACCACCCCCTTTCAGTTTCAGAAACCTCCCATCAGCTGAGTAATTCTATTCAGTTCTATCTGTAAGAGCTAGAAGTACAATCTTGAATTTATGACAGGGATACGTTCTGACAAATGCATCCTTAGGTGATTTTGTCATTGTGTTAACATCACAGACTGTATACACACCTGAGTGGAATGGCTTGAGTACATGGTATAGCCATTGCTCCTAGGGCCATAATGAATACAAGATTACATCAAGTTCAAGAGAAATCGTGCAATCAAGAGAGCCAGTGAAAAGGAAAGGTTTGAGTCTGCTATTGGTGGAACGCAGCAGACTGTGTTACAGAAAACTCTTTTATAAATAGGAGTACACTCTAGAATAATTAAATAGTATAACTACATAAGCCAGTAACTTCTTATCAGTACCAAGTTATTAGGTACTGTGCATAATTGCACATGCTGTATTTTTGTACAGTTGGTGGTAGGATTTTTCAGCGCCACTGCTATTTTATAGGACCAACATTGTACATGTCATAGGTAGCTAAAAGTAGTAATGTGGCACATGACAAATATCTCTTCCTGACTGGCCTCTGATTGATACACCGAGAGATTACTATCTATTGATCTCTTCCTATGCCTTATCTGACTTCTTCCACAATCATATGAAATAGAAGAGATTATCCCATTGTATAGATGAGAAAACTGAAGTGCAGATGTGAGACAACTTGCAGCAGATTAAAGCACAAAGCAGAGCGCCTAGGCCATCTGCTTCAAGCCAGAGCTTGCTCTGAGCAATGTATTTTCATAGTACAGACTCCACAGAGTAAAGAAAATAGGCTATTTGCAGTTTAGGAGATCCAGTCTGGTTTTACTTCTGTCCCAGCTATGGGAGCTTGACCAACTCATGTCACCTATCTGGGCCTCCAGCGGTGAAACCAAAGTCTGGGTCTGGTTCATCTTGAGCCTTCTACAGCATATGCTGGGGTTTGGTGGAATGAATGAAACTACACCCCGCACCCCTCCACTACTCCATTTACAATCCGGCCACAATTCTAACCCACAACCTGCCTGCGGACCACTCTGCAATTCGTTGAGTGTTGTCAGTGAGATGGTCAAGGGAAAACAGGTCTGGTTGTCTTGCTGATACCTTACAAGCCACACTTTAGGCAAATCAAAATTGGCAGCTGAGTTCTCAACAGTGTGAAGGGGCAATGACCTTTGACCATTTATCTACAGCAGGAGGAACTTAAGAGAAGGTGGCCTGCCAAGTCCTCCATTATGAGGTAGGGGGTGCAGGTGGCTAAGCATAGTCTGTTCAGATCTGAGAGTGTCAGCCCATTTTTACAATCCTCTTTTTTCTGAACTTGTTCCTTAAAACAGCTATATAAAAATGTTAATTCTGTGGTGGTATCCTTAGTGTAAATAGATAGAATTGATTGTTCACTCTCCAAAGTTCAGATTATCTTCTCAAAAGATACCATTTTGTAACCTCCAGCTTCGTATTGATGTCATAAATCAGTTCGACAGAAAACTGCTGAGATGCTTTTGGAAGAAAAAAAAAAAAAAACACCCAAGGATGAATGAGTAGCCACCAACATGCTTATCTGCACTTTGCTTTCCAGAAGGAAATGTAGAAATTCCCTTCTCTCTGCAGCACTCAATCACAACAGACTGAAGCATGACCTCAGGCTTAACTTGCTGTTAAGTAAGAAATCCTGAAGCACTACCTGACTTGACACATGTAAAGGTTTGGCCTATAATACCAGAACAGGACACTCAACCTGCAGTATCACCACTCACCACATTAAGAACAAAGTTACAAGAGAGCTCCATTCATCACTGGGACGGCTCATTAGAATTATGGTTTTGACTGGAAAATACACCATCCGTTGTACGACTAACCCACTGGAACCAATTTATTTATGGAGCTTTCATTTCAGAGCTCAATGATTTATAGTCAAAGCCCTCACAAACCAAGAAATATGGATAACTTTATCACAATGGAGAAAATGTGCTCGTCACTTTATTTCATATTTACTGTAATGTGAAACCAGGCCCTGTGCACATGATTTGGGGCTTTAAATAGTTCTGGCAGCAGTGAATTATTTCTTTGGACCCATGAGTTTAAGACTTTGATGATGGATTATTGATTCATTTGACAAAGCTTTATTGAGAAGTGAATGTCCCCATCAGTGGTTCCCGTGCTGCAGGTGTTTCAGACACCTGACATCACATACCTCAGCTCCAGACAGGTCATTGTCATCCTCCCTACCCAGGCACAGATGCCAGGGCCTCACTTGGCTCTTCGCCTTGGAACATTGGAAATGATTTGCATGTAGTTGCCCTTGTTCCTTTTGTTCTAGATGAGAAATTCTTAATCCTGACTACCCATTAGAACCACGTAGGTATCAGTAATAGGAAACCTGACCTATCAGCATCTCTAGGGAGTAGAAATTAAATAAGATGCTATATAGAATGCACCCAGAACATCCTGGCATCTAATAAATGGAAGCCAATAAATGTGATTAATGGTAAAACTTACCTATCTCGTAAAATTAGGCTCCCAAAGACTGTATCGACTACTTTTGACTTACTATAGTTCTTAGCAGAGGACTGGACATATGGTAGATCAACTAAAATGTATTTACTTTTAAATGTATTTACTTATAAATTATACCTTAGATAAAATATTTATATAATAATTACTCATTTTCACCCACATCCAGAAAATATTATTTTACTTTTCTTGGATCTTACACACACAGCATTGGATTGCTGAGAATCCAATACACTAAAAACTGATCCATGCATGGTTGGTTGCTCTATTAATTATTCTGAGAAATATTATATATTTAACTTATTAAGCACAAGTTTGACAAGATAAAAAAGCAGCCAACATTAAACAGGCATAAAAAGTAAAGGGGGCAGGTAAAGGAAAAGTTATTGAAAATAAATTATATGTAAGGACAATTCCAATAATTGGAGGAAAATGGAGCTTCCTATGAGCCGTGCAAATAGAGGACGCTGCAATGTTTCATAGTCCAGGTGTTCCAAGAGGAGCAGCTTGTAGGTGAATCAGAGGTAAACATTGCCCTTTTCCCAGTATTTGAGAGCAGTCTGCCAAAGGGGTCTTTGTAAATAACATTCTTGATTTTTACATAACATTCTTGATTTTTAAAACTTCAGATAAACACTGGTGTTTTCTTATTTACCTGCGGCAGAAACTGAATAATATTCTAGAAAGAAGGTTAGGCTAAGCTAGGCTCAAGGAACCCCTCCCATTTCTTAGTACCCTTTGTTTGGACTACTCTCACTTCAACCTGCTCTAGAAAGTCATTCTGCAAGTTCTGTAGAAGGAAAGGCCAGCAACATCAGAAACCGCTGCTTCTATGCTAGAAGTGTCACAGTGGTGACTCTCATAACACTTGATGTTAGTTTTGGCACGTAGATAGTAAAAGTTAATACAACTTTTCTAGTCCTTGTGACAGCCCTGGCAGTGCCAAGACTCAAAGTCATGAGGACTAGACTCCACTCTCATCTAGACATCAGCCTGATCTGATGCCTGACTTCATGAGGCACTACATTTTGTTCCTCACCTCCCATGGAATATACTTGCTCTACTTTAGTTATTTTTACTGTTTGTGTGTGTGTGTGTGTGTGTGTGTGTGTGTGTGTGTGTGTGTGTGAGTGCAGCAGTACTGGGAATCAAAAACAA